TTTATTTAACTCACTTCCTCGTCAGTCTGTCGTCAGTCTGTCGTCAGTCTGTCTAGACGGAAACGCAGGAGTGAAAATTCGGACACTTCTACTTGACCGACACGATTCACAGTTGGCACGTGGGTCAAGACATGAAGACAATGCAATCTGAAACTAAATTTGACTTAATTGGATGCCTAATTGATTTTTTATGAATTAATTAAAATTTGGACCGAATTAGTAGGCATGTCTAGCCAACCACACCACACGCGTCATCAATAGCTGCGCCATCACGACCACGTAATGGCTGCGTTCAAAAAACCATTGCGCGCCTACTGAACGTGATATTCAGTAGGCGCGCAATGGTTTTTAGTCATGTAACTCTATTGTAGATAAAACATGTAAAGTACTGAAAAAAAATTCATAAAAAACGTTTTAATAACAAGCTTTTATGTAATGATGCACTAAAAAGTAGAAAATAAATTATAGACTACTATTTAAATAACTATAAAGAAAAGCGTGGGTGTCTTCCTTAACATTAGTAAAGGTATCCGATAGATACTAAAGTGACCCACGCTTTTCTTTATAGTTATTTAAATAGTAGTCTATAATTTATTTTCTACTTTTTAGTGCATCATTACATAAAAGCTTGTTATTAAAACGTTTTTTATGAATTTTTATGACTTACTAAGATGATACCTAAATTAGGAAAAAAAAGTTTCTCGACATTCTCTAAATCTTATATCACCGCAACCCAAATCTCACAGTAATATAGTGAAATCAAGTGATAATTAACATAATCAATTAGACATCCCTCCCCTTCCATATTCCTCAAATATTCCCGCCTTACTTGATGTTCAACTCTCTCAACCCCTTACAACGTGTAAGAATTATTGTTGCGCTAGTCCTTTACTTCACCTTTAGCTTCACTGAGTCGTTCTGAGATGAGAGTTTTTACACCCCTCCCAATTAGCCAAGTTATGAATATTGATCGCTGTTGAAAGCTTAACAAAGCGGTCGGTAATCTCCTTCTGTTGGCTGTTGTCACGCCGGCACTCTCAAGGGATGGGGAAACGTTTTTGGTGGATACAGAGGGTGGTGCTATGGGGGGGGGGGGTTGGGGAAACGTTTTTGGTGGACACGAGGGTGGTGCTATGGGGGGGGGCGGTTTTGGTGGACACGAGGGTGGTGCTATGGTGGGGGGGGGGGGGGGTTGGGGAAACGTTTTTGGTGGACATGAGGGTGGTGCTATGGGAGTAGGGGTTGGGGGGGGGGGGGCGGGGGAAGGTTGGGGAAACGTTTTTGATGGACACGAGGGTGGTGCTGGTGGTGCTATGGGGGTAGGGGTTGGGGGGGGGGTGGGGAAGGTTGGGGAAACGTTTTTGGCGGACACGAGGGTGGTGCTGGTGATTCCGGGGGGGGGGGGGGAGGAGAAACGTTTTTTTTGTTATTTTAAATTTATTTAAATTCCATACCCCCCCCCCCCTTTGCTGTGGCGTCATTTTTGCACGAAGCCCAAAGATGATCCGTGCTTTCGTATTCAAAATCATCATAGGGACTACATAAACCTTTTTTTTAAAACACCAACAGTTTTAAATCGTCAGTTCAAAGTTTACAGGCTAAAAACTACACCACTTTAGCCCGAGAAAATGTTAATATGGAGCTAGTTTGTTAATAAAAAAATCTCTACAATTTATAACGTACTGTCATCACAGTTTGTTTCAAACGTTCGCGGGATGTATGAAAGTCCATTAAAGCCACAAGAAATTGACAGTGATGGCCAGATCAATTTACTCGAGGGATAATTAAAATAACAACAATGGTCACGTATGTTGTCTTTATTAACGTTGATCCGGTTTGTACGTTGTAGTTTTGTAAGTAGCTATTGAGACGTTGTAATAATATCTGAAAACTTAACGTTAATGGTTTAATTCATTGTTTAGGAGAATTTAAGTTATAATATAATGATCTTATTTACGGCGTTATTTACACTTTGTAATACTCACCCGATGACACTTGTATAAAGCTATTATCAGTGACGTACCAAAATCAACACTGTCGTTTCTTTAACGCAAATGCCATCGATGTCCAAATGCCATTGGTGACATTTATTTTAATTCTTACGTTATATTTTTTTGTTTAGCTGCATGGCTACGCTGAAACCAATAATTCTTTTGGAATTTTAAAAAAAAAGTAAGAATCGTTATGATTTTTTAGGCTGATATTTATTTATGTATAAAATAATCTTTTACTCTTATTTTATTTACTCCAAAGATGATCAAATCGTATTTTTTTTCTCTCTTTCTGTTCCGGTAGTTTAATAAGCCACGTTGGCAAATTAGATTTTTTTTCTTTCTCGCTCTGTGGATGTATGGAGTAATGCCGCCCCCTTGGGGGAGACGCCTTGCTTGTGAAGCTGAATTATAGATGCCCTGAGATGAATGGTGTTATTTAACTCGTGCATTGTTAAACAACATGCTATACACGACGGTCTGGGTAATTGAGCCTACATGAGATGTACGTGTTTTGTCTGTGTACTTTTTATCTTCTTTTAACTGAACGTGGTCTCTTTAATTATTTTTTTTAAACGTGTATGTAACTTGTACACTGAAGACTTAAAGCATGCCGTAATATGTTTCTGAGATTTTTAGTTAGAACTTTAATTTTTTTAATATTTTAAATTTTTTTTTAAACTTAAGGTGACTGATCTTGTAGCGATATTAGCAATCTTATAACTGAGTAGTTGAGATTGTTACTAGTAACCCAGAAGATTATTAGTTAGTAATCAATGCATTGATGAGTTCAGTTGTAATAGGTACACGGTTTCCTCATTTAAAGATTGAGTTCGATAGTTTTAAGTAAATAGCCACAACGTTAACCTCTATTTCTATAACAGGAGACAATAGTGGCTTGATTGTTCGCAATTCATTAGCTCGTTAAAGCTACAATCGATGTTACATTTTTAAAGGCCATTTTTGTTTTCCCTGGTCAAATGTTTACAAGCACTTTAGGTTCGATTAAAAAACAACACAATTTCACGTCGTATGAAAGCCGATTGATCGCTCTATCCAAGGGCCATAACCAGGCCATTCGATGCAACCTCGGAGACAAGCGAATGTTTGCTACATAGCTGAATGATCTCGTTAGGTCATTAGAAGAGATGTTATGTTTAGTTTTTTTTTATGTCTAATAAACAGTCGTGCTTAATAGTGAGAAACAGAAAAAAGGTGTTTTTTAAAAGGTAAGATTTTAGCTGCGTTATACGTTATTTCATTACCTTTATGTCTATAAAAAAGACTTAATTATACAGTTTTGATACTATTTTAGGACGATATTTCTTTAGTATCTGGACTGGAAACATTGCAATACCTTTCATTGTTAGCTAACGACTCTAACATACCCATCATATATCAGTTGTACTGAATAGAACCAGTTTGATCCCCGCTAAATGTATTAACTAATAGATCTACATTTCGTTGTTAGCTAACAACTCTAACATACCCATCATATCTCAGTTGCACTGAATAGAACCAGGTTGATCCCCGCTAAATGCACTAACTAATAGATCTACATTTCGTTGTTAGCTGAGGACTCTACCATACCCATCATATTTCAGTTGTACTGAATAGAACCAGGTTGATCCCAGTAATATGTATTAACAAGCACACAATCGCCATGTAATTGGATTTTTAAAGACAGGTGTTAGGTGGATGTAATAACGTTCTCTAGTATTTTAATTTACGTATTTATTTTACCCGCTTAAAGGTCCATGAGTCTGTTTGTCAGTGTATTTTGTGTGTTTGAGAAACTTCACTCAATCTACTTGTTAGTCTGTCAGTTTATTGAAGTATTTTGTGTGTTTGAGAAACTTCACTCAATCTACTTGTTAGTCTGTTTGTCAGTGTATTGTAGTATTTTATGTGTATGAGAGACTTGTTAAAATATCCAATCCAAGTCTACTGTTCTAAGATTAACGGTCATTTTATTCCGTTGTGCGTATTTAAACAACCTCCCTCGGTCTATTGATTAGTTTATGGTACTAGTTGTCTGTCCATCTTGTACAATGGTCGCTACTAAATCTCCCTCCCCGTAGATAATTAAAATCTCCTCATCATTGCTACCAACCCAAATAATTTTATCCTACAGATCAATACAAATTTAACCAATTTCCCTGGAGTTTTTCGATAATATCGAGAAGTCTATAGAGGTCAGTTATAATTAGAGTATAACCAGATTTCCTTATAGTTTAAGGGTTTATAAAAAAAAAAAAAACAACAACCCGAAATAACATTAGAGGAAAAGGATCATATCATAAAGGTACTAATTTATCAACCTCAATTTTTCCTGGCTTTTTATTGTTAATCAGTAATTTGAAAGTTTGATTGCATTTTTCTAAAGTTACTATCTTCAATGCTATATCATGTTCGACTTGCAATAGGGGCACTTGGTCATCCAACCTTACCCAAATAAAATGATTCTGACGGTAGTTACACTCTGACGTACTGCTGTTACCTGTGCCCTTTATATTGCCTTAAAGGTAGCTGACCATCTACGAGTAGCGCTGGTACCACAAACTAGGGGATAATTACTTGGTCGAGTCCTGGGACTGAAGAACAGACTTATACATATCACATGACAGAAGAATATTTATATTGCATTATTATTTATGATTTATATTGAATTAGTGATTATATTGAACCCCATAAGCCCACTTCAGAGCATTTTGTTTTGTCAATATTTCATACTGCTGACTAAATTGCCAAAAAAATGCTCGCCTTTAAGCTATTTTGATATATATATATCGACATAAAGAGGGAAGTCTACCACAACAGCTGTAGTTTGTGTTTACCCCCAGACATCCCCTTGTTTACCGTCCCCCCACCCTCCCCGTGTGCATGGAATGCCGGGAACTCATGCACACGTCCGTTTGAAAATGTGGCAAAGTGCTGGCTTTGACGCGACGTCCGCCCGCTCAACAACTCCCGCTAGCTTTTTTTCTATGGGGAATCTGTCGTTAGGGGTGCGCACATTTGTCATTCCTGGTCACAGCCAATCACAGCGTACTCACACGGTAGGTCATCGCACACTCAGTTATTTTTGTAGATTATATATATAAATACATATTGGCTATATATATGTAAATAATATACATTATATATATATATATATATATATATATATATATATATATATATATATATATATATATATATATATATATATATACAGTATGTATACATGTATAGAATATACATTATATATATATAATATATTTATAACGAATATGTATATATATGTATATATAGCCTATATATATATATATATACATACATATATATATATATATATATATATATATATATATATATATATATATATATATATATATATATATATACATAGAGAGGGAGTGAGAAAGAGAGAGAGAGAGAGAGAGTAAAATTGGGTAAAGATAATATGAATATAAATTTTGCATAAAAGAAAATCGAAGCGCACGTAGAGGGCTAAATAATTACACTTTCTTTCCTAACAAACATATTAAATTGCAGTAGTTTTTACATTTCTTCCATTTTATTTTGCTGGTGACATCCGTGACATGTATTTTTGCATTAAATCCTGCACCGTCTGGTCATAATCTACGTAGTTAGTTTAGCCATTAATTAGTTTACCCATTAATTAGTTTAACCATTTATTAGTTTAACCATTTATTAGTTCAACGGCTAATTAGTTTAACTGTCAATTGGTTTAACCATTATTTAATTAAAGCATTAATTAATTTAACCAATAATTAGTTTATTTCGTAAATTTTTTCTGGTCTATTTTCCTGAACACATTTCTTTGGTATTCTTTCTGCATGTATCATTTAAAATAGAAATTAGTGGACCGTAGCACGATGTTCATGTTTTGGCTGGTGCTTATTTTAATGATGCCCTTCCTGTCATCAAGTTTTTAAAAAAAAATTAACAATGACCTGTTGTGTGAAGCGATGGTGGTAATTTTTCCTTATCCGCTTTGTTTAATTATCAGGAGTATGCATAATTTAATCATCACAATTCCGCTTTATCTAAGCATTTAACCATGTTGTAAATAATGATTCGAACGCTTTGTTTGATCGCTAAAAAAATACACGCTGTATTTAATATAGTTTCAGTCACAACACACAACAGGGTTTAGTTGTTGACTTGTGTAGTTATTTCATTAATGAAAAATTCATTTTCTGTTAAACAAAATTTTTAAAACAGCTGTAAGCTATCTCAAAAGATTTCTATTTAGACCTAGCGATCCATTGGGCAGATGAAGTAGAGTTTATGTTTCTTGACCTCAGCATCTAAAGGGACGGTGTGGTCAGCACTATGTCCAGGCACCTTTACTTTCCCCAACATAAGTCAAGTACCCATCAGAGCTGGGGAGGGGCTCCTACAGTCCGAAACAAGATCCGAACTCGAGACCTTCGGGCTAGCAGTATACACTACCATTCGACCACTCCAAGCTACCAATAACGGTTTGGGCGAATGCTGCAGGTAATTTTTTAAGATATAAATTAAAGAAGATAACAGTAAGCTAGATTAAAGTTGGTTTAATACTGCGTTTACACTTGCAACATTTTATACTTAACATGTCTAGAAAAAAAACCCCCAGTTCACAGCAAGTTAGTATACAAGTTCCACGAGAAAAATGTGTTCATCTAACATTAACTTGCTGCGAGAGTTTTTTTTTCTTCCCTAAACTTGTATAGTATACATGTCGCAAGTGTAAACGTGGTGTCAGCTGTAAACAATGGAGTCGGCCTGAGAGTATTTGAGAGTGTTGTTTAAGAGAGAGATAAATTCTCATTGGCGCTGGGACGGGGGAATTGATTTCACCGCTACTGCTGCTTGTCAGGCGCTAATGGCCGTTCGTGGTAGGCCGCGCGGATTCTCACCACGTTTTCAGCTTGTCTAAACAAACGAGATTTGTCCATTGGCCACCGGTCAACTTTTCCGTTCTAAATCACTTGATCTGTGAGGCAACTGTTCTTGTTCTGTTGTAGGGGGGGGGGGGGGGGGGGAGGTTTGTTTGGTGGCCCTCATTCCGTGGTCCAATATCTACCGGTCAACTTTGCAAAATGACGTGATTATGAGGCATTTGTTCAGCTGTCCTTTTGTAGAGGTGGGGGGGGGGGGGGAGGTGTCAAGCTTTTCTGATGGTCCCCACCCCGTGGTCCATTGGCCACCGGTCAACTTTCCCGTCCTAAATCAGGTGATCTTTGAGTCAACTGTCTTTTTTTTAGTAAGGGGGGGGGGGGGGAGTCAGGTTTGTTTAGTGTCCCCTCCTCCCCCCCCCCACCCCGTGGTCCATTGGCCACCGATCAACTTTCCCGTCCTAAATCACGTGATCTATGAGCCAACTGTTCTTGTCCTGTTGTAGAGCCGAGGTCAAGTTTGTCTGGCGGCCACCATCCCGGTGTCCATCCTGTCCCCCCTACATCCCCACCCCACCCGTAATTCGAGTGTCCGGCAGCACTTGCGACAAATTACTCGCCGGTTCAACATTGTCCGGCAAACTAGTCCTGTGACCACGTGATCAGTTTGATTCGATCACCGACGGGCTGGAGAGTACTCGAGCAGGCCACGTCACGTGACCGATGGTGAGAATTGAGCCTGTGTCTGGACCTAATTCTCTGGGTGGCTTGTACGGCATTCTCGTGTCGCCTGCTGTCTAGACAGCTTGAGATAGATCAGAATATAACAAGAGTGTGCTGTCTAGCTAGCCTGATGTAGACCAGAATATAACAAGAGTGTGCTGTCTAGCTAGCCTGATATAGATCAGAATATAACAAGAGTGTGCTGTCTAGCTAGCCTGATGTAGACCAGAATATAACAAGTTTGCTGTCTAGCCAGCCTGATGTAGACAAGAATATAACGAGTGTGATGTCTAGACAGGCTGAGGTAGATCAGAATATAACAAGTTTGCTGCCTAGCCAGCCTGATGTAGACAAGAATATAACGAGTGTGATGTCTAGACAGGCTGAGGTAGATCAGAATATAACAAGTTTGCTGTCTAGCCAGCCTGATGTAGACAAGAATATAACGAGTGTGATGTCTAGACAGGCTGAGGTAGATCAGAATATAACAAGAGTTTGTTGTCTAGCTAACCTGCTGTAGATCAGAATATAAGAAGATTGTGCTGTCTAGACAGCCTGAGTTGGATCAAAATATAACCCTTGACCTATTTAGGATTTTACCTGCAATTTATCAGACTCTCAAAAAATAACTTGCTGGAACAACTACCCATTGTAATGTTATACTTCATTCGAAATAATTGCATGGCCGGTTGTCTATTTTATTGATCAAAATATACTAGGTACACATCTAGACTGAGTCGACTCAGGGACATCCCGCAGACTCGGTCGAACATTGGATCCTTACCATCTGCAGCACGCGCCCTACTGCTCAACCACAATGCCCTGTCATTTATATCTCCCTCCCCCTGCGCATCTCTCCAACCATAAGTAATTGCTCGGGTCGGTTTTCATGTCTACCTTTCTACAAATGAAGTTGTTTGAGAATAAATTACTTTGTAATGGATACCACACGTGTCAACCATCTGTTGCGGGAGTTTAGTCTGATTTTATGTTGGTTTAGCTAACTGTATAGATGTGGGGCTAAACCTTATTAGTTGGTTCACAGATTGATTTTTTTTTCAAATGTTGGTTTAGCTAGCTGTATAGGCGTGGGTCTAAACCTTATAAGTTGGTTCCGATTGATTCTTTTCAGTCTTTGAGATTCTATGTTGGTTTAGCTAGCTGTATAGATGTGGGGCTAAACCTTATAAGTTGGTACACAGATTTTTTTAAAAATCTTTAACTAAGGCCTCAAATTGTTGAGTTTCACTGTTGTAGCACTCTAAATATTCTATGGTACAAGTGTGAAAGGAATTTGTTTTCATGTTTGGCTTTAGAAGCTTTATTTGATAAGCCTGTATAACTTGTGTAGTATTTTTTTAAACGATGTGTTAGAAATCACTCTGTAGAACGCCCGTTTAATTAGCCCTGTACTAAGTATTCTGTATAATGATGATTGTAAAGACATTTAATTTGATGCTTTGTAGAACTGTAGCAGTCGGTTAACGGCATTCATTTAATTATGTTGAAAGACTTTTTTTTTAATGCGCTAATTAGAAACCCACGCTGTTAAACAGCAGTTTACGACTGATGATGACTAATATATACATTCTACATACACAGCATGAGCAGAATTGATGAGTTTTCTAAATTAGATGAAAGTAGAGTTGTATTAATCTTTGCCCAGTTTTAGAACGGTCTTTCTTTTACACAGTAAAATTTTATTATTTGTTGCCCAGTTTAAGAATTACTTGTCTTTGACAAAATAGAATTGTGTTATTTGTTGCCCAGTTTTAGAATTGCGTGTGTTTGACCAAATAGAATTGTGTTATTCTTTGCCCAGATTTAGAATTGCATGTCTTTGACAAAACAGAATTGTGTTATTCCTTGCCCAGTTTTAGAATTGCATGCCTTTGACTAAATAGAATTGTGTTATTCGTTGCCCAGTCTTAGAACGGCATGTCTTTGGATCTGCAAATAACCCCCGGATGAGTGAAGCCGTGTATGCATGTTGATTTTATTAACCGATAAATCTCTCAATATGTCCCGGCCGCTCGGATCACCACACAGATGATATCACCGTGGCCAATTTCTGCAGCTCATGAATGAATGCATACATTTCTCTCTTAGGTAGAAAGTTGGACGTGGCTTTCGTTTAATCCTGACTCGCCTAACATAAAACCACTAATATTGTCATTATCCTCTGTCTTCAACTAGCACTTGTAAATTCCTATAAATGGGCTATGATCTTGTTTTGTGAGTCCTTCTCGTAAGCCTGTTATAAATATACGCGCTTATCTCATAAGTTTGCCATGTTTATGATACTCCTATTCAACAGAGTTGCGACATAGCCACCGGACTGCCAGGAAGTCAGACTACACACTGTGATTTTAGTTTAAAGAAACACCCATTCTATTTTAGCGATTAACTGTTACTATTATTTAAATCAAGCAAGTAGTGCTGCATAT